CATCTGCCAAAAGACATAAGCGATTTCCATTCAAATGATCTCACTAACCTCTCGTAATCTATTTATCCGGTTACCAAACCTACGTTACTCACTTATTGGAGTAGAGAAACACTCTGAAAACTTTTATCTTTTACATGTGAGTAAGGTTAACTCCAGTATCTTAACTACAATCACAGTTCCAGGAAATCACCCTAATTTCCTTGAACTAAGTCATTTTCTTGCTTTTGACACAAATGCAGAATTTTTTCTAAATCCACCTATTTTCTCTAATTAGAAAAAATGATGTTTAATATCAACGACCAACCAGTTTCAGTTATTCATATAAAGAAAACATTTGAATTACAACCACATTTACAAGTTTACATGATAGTTAATGTTCGATACATCGAAACAGGTACTTTTGAGGAACTTAGTATTTACCCCACTTCCCGATATTGGCCATTCTTTCTTTTTGTATCTGATCACCCAGAGTCTTGTCCTACCAATATTGAATGTGAACATTGTACATTAGACTAGAATGATAATTTTTTACAAAGGAACCTTTGTCCAAATTAAAGGTTTCCAACGCTCCTTCATTCTAGCAGAAAATTTCAAAATAATCCCCATTTTTATAATTCATTTCGAAACGCTTTATAATGGCGAACTACACAGCACCATTATTAAACCAAGCAATAAATACTGGCATTTAATACTATGTCTTGCAAATAGCCTAACATTTCCCATTCCCTGCGATCTAGACCGGATTGAATGAGCAGTGAGAATGACAACTGAATGTCCTATATGTTTGGAAATTTGCGATCAAATGAAAAAATTACACAAAAATTTAGCTCCACAACCACCGCATTTAGTTTGCGTTAATTGTTATAATAAACTCAAGCTAAGAGCTAGTACACCATTCGCAAAAATTCCTTGCCCCATTTGCAGGCAGATTATTCATGTAATTAATATGACAGAATACGATGTCTGTAATATTTGCAACCAATTAGTGTTATCCAGAAACAAACGGAAGGGTGAAAATATGATAGTTAAGCACCCATATATTACTGTATGCAATAACTGCATTGAGAAATGCAAAAACATCTGCCCTATCTGTTTTTCCAAAATTGCCTTTGATGAGTTTTGGGCATAACTTCTTTTTATACAATGTCAAACGAATGCCCTGTTTGTCAAGAATTGAAAACAACCCTTCAATTCAGGAAATTTCACAAAAGAAAGTATCCACAACCATTTTATTTTATTTGTGATGAATGCTACATGACTCTTAAATTCAAAACTAACTTAATTTTTGACAAATTCTTATGCCAAATATGCCACCAGGATGTTCACGTATTAAATTTCGAACAAATTAACAAATGTCTGACCTATAAAGGCAATAAAAAAAGAAATAAACAATTATGCTGTTTGTTTAGGAAGTCGCAAAATGTTCTGCTTGGTAAGGGACATTGATTTTGTCCTTGATTATAATCTCCGCGTCGAAGTTGACGGTTACCAAGCGCGCACAAACCGTATTTATATTCATCCCGATCAACAGCAGTTGGATATTTTTTGCCAACGTTATAGTCCTGGCTTCCATGATGAAGAAAAATTTACTGTCAAAAGCAGCTGTAGATTTTTTAATATTATCTTAAATGCATTCAACAATGACGAAGATGTTATCGACATAAATTTCCAAACCTCCAATCGAATTATTTTTTAATTTTTCCTTCTTTAAAAAAGATGATACAGATAACTTTACCAGCTTTTATATATAAAATTTTTCAAGCTTGCTATTTTTATTTCCAAAGTTTTCTTTATGTTTCTCAACCCATTTTACAGTACTTCCGAAAAACCATTGAACAACCCACTCTTGAATGCCCAATTTGCTACTTACCAAAATCCAAATTCAAGAAACAACATCATAACGAGCCACATCATCCACCACACTTTATTTGTATAGACTGTCATGACCAAATTGTAGCCCATTTTTCTAAATATGGACAGATTTTATGCCCCATTTGCCAAGTCCCAAATTATACCCAATCACTTTCATATTACTCCCCTTGTTGTTTATGCAAAAAAAATGATTAAAAGCGCAAATTGGGGAAATACCCAAACGCAATGTATGGCAAGCTATCAACATCTTACTGATTGCCATCAAGGTATCATTATTTGTACAAGATGCCTCCCTAATACGGCACAATTTTGTCCCTTATGCCACATCCCTTGTGATTTTTCCGACCCCTGGAATTAATCCTCAACACTTTACGATGTCCATATACGATTCCTCTACCTTCCTACATTTGGTAAGATCTATAGACTTCAGTAATCAGCTCACAATTTATAAACCTTTTTAAATAACATTTAACACAAAAATCTCTTTTACACATGCTATATTATATACTATTTACCCCCCCCCCCGGTTTTTTCTAGTCCCTTTTACCTATAAAAGGGGACCCCATGGTAAGCCTGTGGATGACCCCAGGTGGAAATACATTTAAGATTAGGGGTTAATTAATGCCCAAATTTCCATTTTTTGCTTTAACTTCATAAGTTTAATATCTGAGCTTAACTCAGTGTTGTAAAGTGCTTTATTCCTGTGGTTAATAAACACCATGATCGTCTTTCTTGATTTGTATTTCTGTGGTTAATAAACACCATGATCGTCTTTCTTCATTTGTTTTCCGTGGTGGGTTTGTGAGAAACCATATGATTATATTTTCCACCTTTTATATATATACAATTTTACACTTTGTCCTTCATTGTTCAAACATTTGATAATTAGCCTTAATATCCGAATGTAATTCGGGATTTTGAATATTTGGTCATTTTATATTGATGTTTAGCAAAATGGAATACGACCCAATTTTAAACTGGAACTGCAGAAATGCAGACCCTGCACCAGAGGAATTTAAAAGAAAGCTGCCTCTCAGGAAGAAACAACGGAAACCGGTAGCAGTTCAATCTTTTTCAATGGACGACGGGTTAAATAAGAACCCTCGCAACTTTCCCAGTATAACCCAAAGATTGGAGCTGCAGAAGTGCAGAGAAACCAAATTGGATACGGAAAATCCAAAATATAAAACGAGTTTAAAGTACTCAATAAAGGAAAATTTTAACAGATGGAAACTGCCATCGTTCATAGAAGTCGTTAACTCAACGACACTGGGAAAGGCAATGATGCCTATCGACTTCATAACCCAGCCAGAAGGGGTTATAAAGAACGAAAACAGATTCTGGAAATTAAAGAAGAGGGAGGAACACGGCTACATCCTCAAGGCAGGATGCACGCAAGTCACCATCCCGTTCGAAGGAATAACTGCTTTTCCGAACCATGTAAAAGAAAGCAGACAGGAAGAACAGGACGACATCCAACAACTTACGGACGGAATGAGCAGACTACGAATCAAAAACAAGATTGAAAAGAAGAAAATCGTGAAGTTGCAACAAAAACTAGAAGCTTCACAGAGGAAGATATCGATCCTCAGATCATACAACGTAGAGCTTGAATCCGGAAGGAAGCTCTAGATAAAACCTAACTTGTCTTTATAACTTTTTCGTTTGATGTTCTCTTTAAATTTTATAACTATAGTATTTAGCCATTTAAGTGTTTAAATTTTCACCATGGTAACTGTAAGAATCGAACAGCTTAATTTTCTAAAAAAAGGGGTGAGTTGTAGTATTGCGAAATACTACACACACACAAAAGACCATTGTCTTAATTGTTTATTTAACGACCCAATTCTAAATTGGAGCGTGCCATTTAAATTAAAGCCTCTTTTCACTAAATCAGATATTGACTGATTTACTGTTATTAGGACTATAAAATCTTGTTTTGAAAATCCACTCCTTTTAAATACTTGTCCAATTTTTCTAAATTTTTCATGCTCAATATTTTAAAAGGGCGGCGATTATTAATACGTCCCTTTTAACTTAACTTGAAACAAACTGGATAAATATTTAGCAGTCTTGCCGGCTGCACTGAAATTCTCCTTGCTTTGATTAAGCAGAGGTGCACCTGCAATATGATGCATCAGAGAGAGTAATATGAACTTTTAATACGACAAACTGAAGGCTGCGGTTTTTATCAAAGGGGACTAATAAGTTGAAGATATTTGATTTGAAAAAATCAAATAAAAACTAGTTGAAAAATCCCTTATTAGAAAGGGAGAACAAAGGAGCAGGTGAAACCTGAATAATTAAAGATTGAATCAGCCGCCGGTTTATGCTTATGAGCAAAAGGACTGGCCTGAAATCTTCAGTGTTTCATTTTGCTCAGTCAGCAGCAAGTCATTTCTCTTCAGTCAAATCCTTTAAAAATAAATAATTTTTCTTTTCTGTCCTAACACTAAAATTAATCTAGCCCTTTTCATTTATAAAAAGAGAATAAATTCTCAGTTTAAGTTTGATTTGAAAAATTATACATCGAGATACTCGAGATACGCACCCCCGAGGAAGTCTGGACTACAAGTACCCAAGGGACTACGGCAAGACGATTCAGACGACCCAACCAGAAGTGCTGACTTGGACAAACATCAAGGGCAACCATACATTCTAATCAGCCACCGAACTTAGTAAGAAGATAAAATATTGATGAACAAAATAAGATTAGCTCAACCTCCCCTCATAGGTATATTTCTTTAAGCTGTTCGATTCATTTATATAATCTAATAACCCAGTGCTCTGTATCTAACCAACTAAATAATTCATACCTTTTCTAACTATTGTTTCTACTCTACTTTTTGTCAAGACAATTTGACGATCTAAGGTGAGACTTATAATTTAGGATAAAATTACTAAGAATTCAACCAGCAATGAGCGCTTAGTAAAATAGATGGAAAATCTGATGTCTGGAGTCCCTCAAACAAGGTGGCGCATACATGCCGATTCGACAAGTTTTTTGCTTTTAGAACTTCTTTTTATAGTTAATACAGTCACATTAATCGCATCAAGGTGCGTAAAGTTTTTTTAAAGACATAAAACTACAGCTGACTCTCAGGAAGCTCATGAAATAATAAGCTTACCTGTAGTATCCACGACTGCCTGCTGTTCTCCGTTGATGAGGACCTCGAAGTCATTGTACAAATCGGAGGACACATTCCAGAACTGACGAACTGCCTCGCCCGCCACTAGAGTCGCGAAGGAGATAGAACTCAGCTCCGGTGCAGGGGGTTCTGTTAAACAAAATTAGCTTTAGCAAACCAACCAATTTATAATAGCCAAAATCAAAAATAGATTACCCTTTTCTCGAGGGGGGATTTATGAAAACAAAACCGAAAAAAGCGTCTTCAGAAAAACTTTATGTTCGATTGTCCAAAAATGGACGTCGTAGAATAGGTTGGCCACGCGTCTCTTAGGTCGGCCACGTGAGGTAAAATAGGGTGGCCACGTGTCTTTTAAATAGGTCGGCCACTTCAGGTAAAATTGGGTGGCCACGTGTCTCACATAGGGTGGCCACGTGTAAAATAGGGTGACATAGGGTACTTCTATGATAGAGTGGTGGGCTCATTTTCCTCCCCCCCCCCCATCTCACACGAGCTACAATATATTAGTGTAACGAGTGGTTTTACGAAGTTGAGTATGAAGACCAAAAATGTTTGTCGTGGCCTTAGTCTGTATGTAAACAATGTGATCAAAAAATTTACATGTAAAAATTTGCAGTTGGGGGGGGGAGAGGAAAAAGAGCCGAAAAGTCCCTTGAAAACCACCAGGTCCCTTGCGAATAGGACACACAGGGCTCTGAAGTGTTTAAAAAATATGATCTCGCCATTCAGAAAGATGTCGCAGTATATTTTCAAACAAACTGTAAGTTTCTTAGTTTCGTAAAACCTCCCCCCTCAAAATTTTAAGGTGGAAAATTCAAAAAAAAACCTGCCAAAATCGAAATTTGATGACAAATAAGCTATTATAATTATGGTTGTTAAATCGTAAAATAAGTTGAAACGAGCACATTTCTTGATAAAAAAACTATAGTAATTACAGTTTTTAATCTGAAAGTTTTCTGACTCAACATCTTTCGCCAGATTTTTGAAATGAATAATTTATATGCTAACTAATTTTCAAAATTATAACATGGAAAATGCATGCGGGACCTGTCTATCATAGTTGCTTTTTCGAGGGACCACTCTATCATAGTAGTACCTGACATAGTGACCACGTGTCTCACAAACCGCTGTAACTAACGTCACTGATTTTAATTATGGTAAAAAATGAATGCCACGAGCTGATTATTTCTGAAATAATAGCTTTTTCTACTTTTTGACACAAAACTTTTGGGCACAAAATAGATAATTTTTCAAAAAATATATTCTCAAGACGGTTGATATTCTTTTCTGCATGACTTTTTGCTTTTTGATCTAAAAAAAATTTATTTAAAAAAATTCATAGAAAAAACTCATGCCTGAATAGCTCAAAATAGTTTCACGACTCTTTCATATGATTTTGAATCGTTACGCTGACGTAGCATCTAGAGTTACAGCGGAAAAAAATTAAAGAGTTTTTTTTCAAGGCACAGTGTGACCCAGGGTGAGTTGTAAACACTTCAAAAAGTTTTGTATCAAGTGAAAAAAGTATAAGTTTCACAATTTTTGCAATTTATTTGAAACCATTGCATTCAGGTTTATGAGCGGGACAGTCTCTCTTTTTCAACGCTTTACTTTTGTCGAGGCTCTTAACAGATATAGAAGCGGTGAATTCCCATAGGTTCCAATATTCATAGCTACCAAATTAAAAAACCAGTCGCATAAGTCCCAAAATTTATCTTATTGAACTCTGATTGGTTGAAACTTGAGCAAACGAATTTGTGGATTGGTTGTTTACTGTTCAACCAGCATAAACTCAAGCTGCAGAACAGTGACCGCCGCAGCCGCGTCAACGTGTTGCGAGCTTGCCACCAAAGGGTAGGACTCTATACGAATTATATAGTCCAACCCTTTGGGGGGTAGGCCCATCAGCGACCTTAAACCGAGACTGGCTAATTTAGTTTTTGATCATACGGACTTTGCGACTGCTTTTTTATTTTGGGACCTATGGGACTGATTTTTCATTTTGGAACCTATGAATGCGCACCATAGAAGCTTGCGATATGAGCTGCTTGATTATCATATTGTTTCACAGCACTGATTAACTTTGTGTTGTAAATCGGGGCTATTCTCATGCGCTAAGCACCGAATGAGCGACAAAACTCGTGAGCGAAGGACCGCAAACTGAATTAGCCGAAAATCAATTTTCAAAAAGAAGCAATTGTCATTCAATTAACTGAGGCAATATTTTGCTTGTTTCATAACGAAACCCTTGAAATGTAAAATTTGTTCCAATTCGGCGGCAGCCAGTGATATTTTGAAAATTTTGCATATTTCTGCCGTTTTTATATTCGGCCAATATCAATGTTCAGTCCCTGGAAATGTTTACTTTCTTTCCAAGTTTTAGATTACTGAAATCTGATTGGCTGATTTGTATTTTCGCGCATTTTGTTCTTTGTATATGAGGGATTCCACCTTGTAATACCTTTGTTTTTCAACAATTCAAACTATATCACTCGAGTTAATGAGCTTGATTAGTCTTCTATCTTACTTTTGGATCAATTTAATGAAGTGTACGCAAAAAAAGACAGAGGAAAAATTGTGCCCTCAAGTCCCTTTTGTAATAATTTGTTTATCAGATAACTAACCTATCAGATAAAGCTAACTTATCTAATAACTAACTTATCTAATAACTATCTAATAGATAAGTTATCTAATAACTTATCTAATAAAAAACTTATCAGATAAAGCTTTTAATTGAAAGGGTTGCTGATTGTGTCATTCGCGCGTGTTTTATATTTTGTCTTTCTTTTTAGCGCTTGATGGATTAGCAGGCCCCATTGTTTGTTATTTAGAAGTAACTATATGCATATGGGAGTCAAAAAAGAATTTTTCTCAGTGGAACTACTTATACAATCTGAAAAATTTTCACTGGGTAACTGTACTTCTTTTTTTATGGGTAAGTAAACAACTACGGTAAAAATTGTTTGGCACTGATATTGATTTGCTGGTTCTGATGCTGGCATTGATCAAAGATCACGCTTGGCCTTTATAGCCTTGACCGCACTGGTACCATGACCATTCTATAAGATATAGAGGAAAAAATATCTACATACTTTTTACATCAGCTTATTGTTTGCTGCAGTTCAATCTAATTATGCATGCGTCTTTTGATTTCGCAATCATCGAAAATTACCCAAAAAACCACATGAGTTTTTGAAATTACAACTAAGTGAATGGAAAAAGTCATTATTTGATTTAGCTCCCCAAAGTTTCTGAAACAAAGTGTCAGGAAAGTATCTCAAAACTTAAAGCTAAATTTCTTATAACAAAAGGTAAGCAGCTTGACTTGGAACAAACTTTTTTCATCAGTTTATTGTTTGCTGGATCATTTATGTTTGCTACATTAGTTTTTTTGTTCGTTGGAGTTCACTTCTACGCAGCATGCGTTTTCTGAGGCTTTATTATCATTAAAAACCATCCGAAACTCAACATGAATTTTTGAAATAACCTGAATTGGGAGGAAAAAAGGTCACCATTTGACTTAGTTCCACAAAGTTCATACAACAAGGTACAAACAGAGTATGTCAAAACTTTCAGCAAAATTCATATAATAAAAATAAGAAACCAGATAAACTTGACTTGGAGCAAGAAAATTGTTCTTGACTGGGAACAAGAGATGTTATTGTTTCAGAATGTTATAGTTCAGACCATTGGCAATGAGGAAAATTTTGTCTTCGGGTGTGTTTTATTGTTCCGACCATTGAAACCGGAGAGAAACTTTGTATTTGGGTGTGTTTTAAATTTTTTTCCACGCAACATCAGGCACCACAAAAAATCATCGAAAAGGAATGAAAGCTATATCATATTAAGAACCTTTCAGTCGAAATTCGAACGACATTCAAAAAAGTATCATAAATTATTAAAATATCTCAAAATAGTACAAAGCGCGACCCTTTGGGTAGGCAGGGAGTCGAATCTAAATCCGCTGGTGCAGTGAGGACATTTTTGAGTGATGTAAGAAAAACGATACAACAAAAATTTTATAAATTTACATTCTATAAATTTTCCGATTTAAGAGGAAGAGGGGTTCATAAGCCGTGAAATACGGCGACAATTCTAAATATTCTATTAACTAACTGCAAAAGTCATCCTTGTCATCGTAATAGCAGTCCTGGACGTCTCCGTTTCTGTCCTTGCATTGTAGAGTGTTCTTGTTATAGATAGGAATACAGGTGTTATAGTGGTGTCCATTATGCTCAAATGGAATCTGGCAGAGTTTGTCCAGTTGTCTACCCGGACAGAACCCACATTGTTCTGAAAAGAGAGGGAAAATGACATAACACATCCGTTTCAATTTTTCAGACAACTAATTGTTTTAAGACCAGCTCTATTTTCATTTTTTACTTTTCAGACAACTAATTGTTTTAAGACCAGCTCTATTTTCATTTAGATACTTCACTAGGGGTTATTAAAATCAACAATTGGGTCGTAACAGTTAGGTCATCCCTTATAAAATTAAGAGTCTGGGATCCGAAATTCAGCTTAAAAGCAGAAAAAGAACACTGCCTAGAAAATTCTCAAATATGATTATGCGTATATGATTAACCATGACCAACACCCAAGATAAAGCTGAAAACAGTAGCAAAATAATCTTATAGAAGGACGGACTCACCCATAATGTTGTATCTGAACTTTTCTGAAAAAAAAAAGAATTAGATTACACATAATTTGGAAAAATGCTTCTCAATTCAAATATATTGAATTAAGGCACTAACCCATATCTTGTTTGACGAAGGTTTCATTTTCCCCTGAAACAAATTTTTTTAAAATCAATGTTAATAAATGGCAAAGATGAAAGAAAAACTAAATTGTTTAAAATTGAACAAATTGAACTATTTAAAGAATTTTTTTACATTTCGATTAAGTTTAAAATCGACCTTCGAGAAGGCGTTGGGAATGAATTTCAGCAATTTTTTTCAAAAGATGCTAAAAACCATCATGATCTGAACAAAACTGAATCAAACCAACTTTTGGGGTCGTCAAAAGATCCATTTTGGAACGCCATAAAAAGCTTTTGGTCCAAAACTTGAGGATGAAACTGTACCAAAAAAGTGTTACAGGGAGCAATCATTTTTGAGGCGAGTAACTCATCACAAAACATGTACTCAGGGAACTTCTTTATAAACTTCTTTAAAATTTGACGCCGCATTCTTTTTCAACGAATTACATGTATAAACATAGCCAACAGACAGATGGACAAGAGAATTTTTCTAGAAAAAAAATTCGGTTTTCCCAGAAAAATGAGATGACCATAATGTTCTTTGAGTTTCTACAGTTTGATCAATAGTTAAATATCTTATTTCGCTGAGGATTCTGAAAATTAAATTCCACTTTCACTCAAGTTTGTGGTGTTCGATAGTGAATTTTGCCCTCCGTTTAACAAAAGAAATGAACTGAGCTTAAGAAACCAAGAGTAAAACCGCGAAAGAGAAAGTTTGACGCAGTAAAATCTGAAAACATTATAAAGTTTTTCCTGAAATACAGAGAAGGAAAAAATATCGTCTCGATCTTTATGAGAATCTGAGTTACGTTCATCAGCTCTTAAAAATTGAAGCGATTGGTTAAAAAAGATTAGGTAAAAACCATAACCTTGTTTCAAATGTTCAGAGAAAAATTCGTATAAAAACTAATACTGTAAAATTTTCGAAAACAATGAGTTTGAGCAATTTAGTCTCGTTTGAAACTACTTGTTGTTCCAACTCTCAAAGAACTTGCTGAATACTTGTGCACGGGCTGATTTTTTTATTCAGTCAATTTTGTTTTTAACTAAGCGTTTTTGATAAACGTTTTTCATGACATCGAAAAATTTTGTTGTCTGTAGCCCAAAAGTAAAACAAAATTCGACTGCTTTGACAACCTTTCAAAACGATATCGGGGTTTGAAATTGCTAATTGGGCCAGTTTGAAACAATTGAGCACAATATATTGCGTTCTTCTAACAAACGTAGGTGGCGGATGAAATTTTTCCAAAATGATATGAGGCAGGTCATTTCGTCCTTTTACTAGGATACCAGATGCTTATTCTATCTGTTTGTACTTTACACACGTGCGGTGGGATGAAAAGAAGGGATAATTGAAAAACTGGTTTTTTGTCAATATATCGACTGTTTAACTAAACATTTTTGACAATTTTTTTAAATTCTTTCTGAAAAACATTGCTGACCGGAGCCTAAAAATGAAGAAATAGTTCACCTGTGATCGTTTTTTATAAAAATTATTTTGAAATGATTTTGGGTTTACAGTGACGACTATGATTGAAATAATTAACGCGCGATTCAATGCGCGCTATATTTCGTTCTCTTAAAGCGTAAGAGGCATATTTAATCCTTCCAAATTAAGCTTAGGCAATTTATATAATCTGACTAAAAAAATATCACCCACAACAAAATATCACTTGGAGTTTTGTATAACTTTGGGGGACAAAATTAAGAAATAAAAGTTTTCGAAGTATTCAAAGTTTTTCATTTTTCGAACACTATAAAATTTATATTTTCCACCAAAAAAACTTGTGATCGACGATAGAGGGCAAGCAGTGACGGAACGTATCCAGAGTGCTGAAAAAAAATAAATCCCAGTTTAGATAACGTATTTTAAACAGCAAAAAATGACAGAGAAGATAGCTAAAAGTTTTTAAATGCAAATATGATAAAATGTGAAAGTCGAAAAAAAAAATCAAAAAATGTCCGCTAAAGTCAAGCAAAGTAGTCGAACAATGTCCGGTATAGTCGAACAGAGCCACGCAAAATCGAACAAACTTGAAAAATGTCCAGTAAAATTGAACAAAGAGAAAAACGAACATCATTTGATTCAAAATCTTGAAAAAAGACATCGTTCGACTCACAAAGTCAAAAGCGGGCATCATTTGACCGCTTCAATCGAATCATGAGTCGAGCATTTTAGCCGGAATGCCGTCACAACAGTGACCGCATGTTTTTATGAAGTAACCTGTCTGTTTTTCTCAAAAACTTTGAGCTGAAACTCTTTTATCTTCCAAACAAACTATCATTGCGTAGCCATGATGACTATTTAATAGTTATCAGAGAAATTGCGTTCAGACAATTCGGTCACAGATAACTCAGCTGATTTCAAATTTAGAAAATTCAGTCATATGAGCAAAACAATTTGGCCAAAGACTATCAGACAGTTTTAAAACTTTTAATCGTGCGCTTAAAAAGTCTTCATCGGCGGCAAAACATAAAAGTTTTGATTATACGGCTTATATTTATTTTTTTATCAAATACACATGAAACAAACGAAAAAAGAGAACTAAAAGTATACTTAAACAAAATAGAGTTCTAAGCAAACCAATATAATCATTAGTCCGGGTACGCTCACTTACCGGTAACGAGCTCCTCAAAAATCTAAACAAAAAGTTTGTAAGTGAAATCCAACAAAAGGCAAGAACGCTCAACTGGTAACGCTCCCCGACAGATTGATTTTGAAGCCAAAGTTCACAGCGCCATCAAAAAAAAGCGGCCTGATACAAAAATTCAATTCTGTTTCTTCCATCTGGGCAAGGCAGTATGATGAAATCTAAGAAAACTTGGGTTTACGCGCAAGTTCATGGACGTCGATTAGTTTCGGTTAAATGTCAAAAAAATTGATTTGCTTGGCCTTCGTTCCTGTTGACGAATTAAGGTTCGCATTTGAAAAGCTCCAAATAAAGGATTCTTCAATGGATTTTCAGAGTATATCGGACACCTTTGAAGACACCTATACTGGTGTCGGCCGGGGAAACAGACACGTCTAACCGAAGTTTGAAATTGCCTATTGGAATTTTTAATCGGGCGCTCAGCGGAGAATCTCGTACGAAAAATGCATTGGAGTCAGAGATTGGTAGCCTCAATAAATTCGTGTCGACATAGCACCCTGCCATCCCGAAGCTCATCGCACCTTTCAAAGACGAACAAAAAATGCCGAAATTAATGTAGAGAGACCGATGGCCGGTAACATGGTTCAAATACGAAGCCAAAGTGTTCAATCGCCAATGAGAAAATCGTGCAAAACTCAAAAAAGTGCAATAGAGACCATATACAGAAGCATTCGAAACTGTGTACTTTTAATATACGTATACCCCTCAACTTTAAGCACAGCAAATTTGTTTTGATCGTTGAAAATTGTTATTTGAAGTTTCAAACTTTTTTGTTGAAGTGTTGAAGCCCTCTGACTCTCATAAAAATAGATTGTTTTTGCTTTGAATGTTAGTTTTTGCTTTGATCTAGTCTCTTTAATCTAAATTGGCTGAATTATCTTTGGCTGAATTGTCTGAGTTTTCTGGCTGAATTGTCTGTATTTGAAAGTAGCTGAATTGTCTCTGCGCCTATAAAAACGCAAACAAAAGCCAATATTTGACTTTCATAAACTGACTTCACAAAAATTTTCACTAGTGGTGATTGTCAGCTTATTGTTTTATGTCCAATTTTAAGAAAAATGAAAGCAAACAAAACCGTTTAAAATGTCAAAAAAAGTTGCGGCTTTTTTTAATCTAAATTAAATGTTTAGTCCATAAGAGACAGACTTATTCAAACGAGAAACATGCTTTTTGCTGTTTTTTACAACCAACCTGTCAAAAACATCAGGTTGTTTGGAAAAGATTTGAAAACGTGGTGATGTTTTTGCAAATTTTCAATGCATTACCGTCAATCTTGGTAATAGAAAACTTGAAAGTCTTTACAAAAACTCTCAAGATAATTCAAATTTTTTGTAAGCTTCAAGTTTTTCCATTCAAATTAAGTGCAAGGGGAAACAGATATGACTTCAAAGAGTATTTATATAATTGTTTTCTTCTTTAAAATTCTTAAAATTATTGAGACACTCTGTATTTTGATCATTAAATATCTGGGGTCATTTTTGCAAGTACATAATTTTTTCAGAGCCGGATGGAAAACGCTTTGAGTTTCATGGTTTGAAAAAACTGAAAGGCGTTAAAGCAGTATACTTTTTCAACCTAAATCATCATCTAGTTGTCAAAATATAATTACCTTGGAAGTTCATGGTCAAATTATACTGTTACCAATATAAAAAAAACCTTCGATAAAAACGCTGCTAAAAATTGCAAGGACTGAAAAGCCGAAGTCAGGGGTAACTAAAAATGTTAGAAAAGATGTCGAAAAATAAATCGTTACAGGCACTGAAACTGACAGGAAAAACTGTATATGCCTGGAATGAAGTCACGGATGTAATCAAAATAATCAAACTTTTCGTAACTGAAAGTTTTTTAGATTTTCTCAAAAACTACCGGTGGCTGTGTAATCATTTCAAAAATTTTTTTTTAAAATAAATTAAAATATTCTTTTAAGTTCCCGTTGTTATTAAAGACAAGAAATAAAAAACGAAATCAACCATTAAATTACATAATATTTGCTAAAAGATCCTGAAAAGAATACTATATCGGATCAGTACCTGTTGTGGAAAAATACTTTCGACACTTGGATATATTTTTGAAATTCTTTCGATTTAGTATGATACCATACACAAGCATTTTATGATGAACTTGATTTTGCGGTGAAAAGCACTTTAGGCCATAGCTCGTTACCACTCATAGAGATGGGACAGAAAAAAACTTTTGAATGAGAAATCAAGGAGCTGTCCCAGATGTCTTTGATACCAATTTCGAGCACCTATCACACAATAAAATTACTCACAAGTGTAGAGTACGAGCTGCATCTGCATGTTTAATCTAAATATCACTTACAGTTCCTGATAGGAAACTCCACGACACCGGCACTTAGTCCCTGTCTCACTGGAACAATCGACACATTCTGAGTGGTGCATAGGTCTACGCTAACTGGAACACTCAGAGCTAAAATGAACGAAAATTGTATAAAATTGTAGTCATATATAACCGTAAACCATGATTATTGCTGCGAACTTCGAAGAAACTAAGGAATAAGGCTTGGGGCAATTTTCTTATTCAGACCTATTTCAGTGATAGAAAAAAAATGTTTTTAACGAAAGTATGTAAACCCAGTGGAGGATTTAGGGGGGCGGGGGTGGACGCACCACCCCCCTCAGGATTTGGTGACGGACCCTAAAATTTTTCTAAAGGCGCCTTTGGCGGCAATATGTACTAACTTTGAGGGGAGAGCGCGCGCCAAAAAAAAACGCAATTTTTTGGCCGAAATTTTCCAACAAGTTTAATATGGGGTCTTTAGAGTGATTTGAAAGAGCTGAGAAAATCAGTTTGGTCGACCTAAAAAAAAAGATCGAGAAAAATTTCATTTTTATTTGAAAATCCACCCTTCTCTTGAGAAATTCCTAGATCCACCTCTGTATGCACCCCAATGAAGATATCGACTCTTTGAATACAAATTTTAAAAGTTATTTCAGCTGCAATCTCCGTTTTAGTTAAGCTCTGAGAGTTTGAAAGCTGTCAAAATTGTAATGTTCTGGTGTGAGTTCTGTGCGCTTTGATGATTTAATATATGATACTGTAGCGTATACCTACGCAAATTTTTTTATGTGCGGCGAATTTAGGGACTGGCTTTCAAGAAATTCATATAATTACACTTTTTCAATTAACCTTTCGAAATCGGTCTGATTGACTGTATCTCTTTCCCGTTGAGCAGGAGGGAGTAGTAGTCATCCATGAACTGGTTGAAGAAGTCTTCCGGGATTTCCCACTCGATGAACAAGAGGGTGGGAGTGAGGAAAAAGAAGCTGTATCTCAGAGGTTGACCACCGGAACCTGGAAATTAACATAAGATTGTTCCTATGAGGCGCAGTTGTTCCGAGCACCGTTTTTGTCTAGGTTTGTTTACGAGGAACGGACACAGTATGGAGCCTTATCTGATCCCATACAGTGTTTTTTGTGCTACTTGATTTGTTGAGAAGCAAAACAAAAAACCTAAAGTTACCATTTTGTGAAGTGGTCAGAATCAAAAAATATTGAAAAATTTGAATATAACAACGGTAAATTTGTACCATAAAAGTTTCACGGATGTTTCTTAGCATAAAAGCAGGCAAATATTAATTGCTAACAAAATGTGTAATCAAATTACGAGCTCAGGTTTTTCATTGACACGTTTCTCTCGACACTGATACAAGTTTTTTGATTTTTTTAGAATGGGAATCATAGCTGAAAGACTCTGCAACGAGTTTCTTTGAGTTAGTCAAAGTTGAATAAAAGTCTATCGGCATAATTTTGCTCAATCACTGTAGGAGAGTAGTCGTAACAAAGACACTTTTAGTTTTTTGAATAAATGGTTTATTCAGTTTTAAGAATTTTTTTTTCGTTTTGCAGCATTTCAAAACGATCAATGAATTACTGAATAACGCCACAAAAAATAGGGGTAAACAGTGGTTACACAAGTAGCGCAAATTATTCCGTTAACTGTGATTATTGACCAAAAAAAAACACTTTTTAAACTCGAACCAATTTTGTGTCGATTCTGTTTTTTTTTAATTTCAACATTCGAATATTTTTTAGTTTCGAAAGTGGATTTTGATTTTCAGTTTTCCTATTCAAATAAAAATTTTACTCATGGATCGAATTTTCTCAAATTGGGTTTATTTTACCAAAAAACTGTCAATGATAAATTGTTCTAGAAATTCAAAAAGCTTTCAGGGCATGCATTTTTTTTTCAAAATTTCGAATGCTGAAGCTTTTTGAAAAAAAAGTCAGAATCGACACAAATTGTTTCGAGTTTAGAGAAAAAATGTATGCCCTGAAAAATTTTTGAATTTCTAGAAAAATTTATTGTTGACAGTTTTTTGATAAAATTAACCGTATTTGAGAAAAGTGAATCCTAAATACATTTTTTATTTGGCTAGGAAATCTCAAAAGCAAATTCCACTTTCGTAATAAGAAACGATCACGTTTTTCGTGACGTTTGGTACCGCGACATCTCGCAACACAATACGACACGTAAATTTAAAGAAAGCGACAACTCGCAAAATATTATTATTATAGAAAAATTAAAGTAGAAAAAACTATTACTATAGAGTTTCGGTTTAAGATTGCCGATTTAATGAGTTTAATGGTTCCATTAAAGGACAACCGGCTCTAAATTTTGTATTAAGTCCTATCCTCTGTTAGCAAGCTCGCAACACTTTGGCGCGATCGCTGCAATGACTATTTTGCGAGTTTTTTCTTATGCGAGTTGTCTTTTATTGCGAGTTATCTTTTGTTTCAAGTTGTCCTTTAATCTCTTATTATTAAAAAAACTGTCTTGTAGCAAAGTCAAAAGGATTTTTGTGAGAACTCGCTGATTATCAACAAGCGACTAGATTTCCTAAATTGAGAATTGAACAAAAAAATGATGTGTATTTTGGCTCTGTTGTTCAAGTTTGTTTGATGGCCGTTTTCAGCTATTTAAGCTATTTTGAGCCCATGGTGGTAGCCCGGAAGTAAGAGGATAAGATTAATATAATGAAAGATATGAAAGTTAATAAAAATACATTCAAACATTATCTATAAATCATCGCATAAGTTGGAGTACATAGATAGAGATAAGCTCGAATAGGGGTTTTTAGTCCTTAATTTTTATAAACAGCCTAATACTAGATACCTTGTGTCTGACAGTTAATTTGAACAGTACTGCCGCCGTCATCGTACTCCACATAAAGGAAGTCGTCATTGTATCGACACGACATCGGTATCAAGGTCCGAACCGAACAGGTCAACTCGGTAGCAAGGGGCAGTTCTTTAATAGTCGAAGAGTCAAATGATAAAGCACCGTTATTTTGGGAGGAAACAGGTTGCCTAGCAGCAATCAATATTTGCCCATTTAGAGTCCGGATGATGATTTCGTACGCATTTGGTTTGACAGTCCCGGAGGTGGGTTCATTCCAAGACAACTGGACCGCAGTTGGAGCGGAGTGTGTTTGCTGTAAATTGCCAACTGGATCTGGACCTGAAATGGCAACAGCGATAATCCTCTGCGTACAATTTACGATGAAACCTTCCGTTTTCTCGCAAAACCTTTGTTTCAGCAATCAAAAATTTACACCATTTTGAGTTCTATGCAAAGAAATTATTTGAATATACCGCTAAAAAAATTTGTCCCACTTAATTTAAATAAAAATTCTTTTTTCACTCAAAATCGAAACTCAAATATACAATCTAACTTATTCGCTGTAGAACTGAACTCGGAATAAAAAAGAATTCATATAAAACATAAAATTTAAACTTTTTTGGATAACTACATACAAAGTTCGGGTGATGTTTTCAAAGTCTTCTTCTTCCAAGTTATCGAGTGTCATTTAGAAGTTAAAACCATAAAGTTATGAATTTCAATTTTCTAAGCAATCATTTGCTGCTTGGTCTTTTGAATTCTTCAATTAACTTCTTCGTCTTCTTCTTTTTTCAGATTGCTCAATCACTAACGAAAATTTGAAACTACGTTTCTTATAGTAGTAATAATAATAATGTGCATTTCGAGAATGATCTAAAAAGATTTTTTTCTCGGATACGTTTTTTTACAACTTCTCTCAAGGATCAAAAAGACAAAAAGCTGGTATTAATTTTTCTTTCAACCAATCTAAATTAAGTTGAGTAATTTAAACTTGCTCATTGGACGTTTGACATTTGCGCATTTCAAGATTTTAAAAAAGACAAGCAACCCGATTAATCTAAAACCAACTGTTTATGGCTTTTAACAAATTTATCGGACGTCTCAAATTTTTGAATTAATGCTGAACTTCAAGCTGAATTTTATTAGAAATAGTTCTTTAAATTTTGCGTTCGCCTTTTTGTCGGCGTTTTATCTGTTCTTTTCTATTGTAAATTTGCATAATTATCGCTGTTGAAGGAAAATTGTTTTGAAGATAATGACTTGAGCTTATATTAGAAAATATTCACCTCTGAAAAAGCACTATCAATATGGTTTGCCCTTATGAGGTGGCGTCCCTCATGCTTGATGGACCGAATGCTTGAAATTAATTTAAGTTTACTTTCAGTCAATCAGAATTGAGTATTCAAAATCTCAAAGTAAATTGCGAAAATCTCAAAGTAAGAAAATAAATCCAGGCCATTAGTGTTAATATTGACCGATTAGATAATAAGCAGATGAGTTTTCAAGACTGAAAAATTCTTATGATTTTGAATTCATTATTCTTGATGAATGATGATTATCTGAATATTAATGCGGTTTTAACCCGCAATTTGTATTTTTTTTGATTATTTTCCATTGATTTAATACATTTTCTGTAAATATTGACTTCAATTTTGTGAGAAAGGCATTTAGCCAATAAAAAAGCTTAGCGATTTTAATTGGTTGAAATTTTTCAAGCATTCGGTCCTTCAAGCATGAGAACCCTCCCCCTCTTTTGACAGTTCAAACGCAATTTTGAAAATTCGGTTGTATTTTTAACTCTATTTCTTTGTCTCAACTTCAGAATTATTTTGGAAACTTAAGACGTTGTCCAATAAATTTGTTAAAAGCTATAATGACTTGTTAATTTAATCAAGGTCACCAATTGTGAGGCGAAATTTTGTAACACACGACAAGTCGTAACATGCGACAATTCGTAAACATAGTCAACAAATAGTTGGAAAGGAGTCAAGGAAAGCAAGGACACAGAAAAATACTGAAAAAAAAACTTTCTCGTTTTTTAGACAAAAATTCAAATATTGAATTTCAAAGAGAACAATATATGCTCATAAAGCTATTTGAATTTCAAGAACTATTCATGCTTGTCAATTTTACGATAAAACTTATCTAGTTTAAGAAAACTGAATCAATAGGTAATTTTTTTATTGTGGAACAGTGGAGCGAAGTGGAGCTAGTGTATACTACTTACCAATGACTTGTTACGAATTGTCACTTGTTGCGACTTGCCATTTGTAACGAATTGTCGGCTGTTACGAATTGTCGCCTCACCGTCACCAATAACGCCAGCAACTAGGAGTTAACAACTTTGTTTTCAGCATGAAAACATAAAGCTCCAAAATTTTCATTCAAGCATATCCAGTTAGTATAAAATATCTAAAATATGGCTGTTGCGAAAATGTATTGGCGCCTTTACAAAACACATTAAAGCCAAAACACTCAATACTTTGACTAATTAGGTGACTTTTGACCTTAAGTAATTTTAAGGTAGACTTGAGGTAAATTTTACCTTAACAACCACTAACCTTAAGTTACTTAAGGTAACTTTACCTCATTTTTTCTTAGAGTGAACGATTGAAACTATCAAGCTTTTTAATGAACTAACGCGAACAGTATTCGATGAACGCAATCTCGGTAGATGTGACCTCTCCACATCCCCACGTGAAACTCTCAATTTGAAGCGTGAAAACTTCTGCAGGTGGAAACTGCACAACAACAGTACCATCCACAGCGGCGCTATCGAGGCCAGTGGGAAAAGTTGCCGAGTTAGTTGGTGTGATTGATTTGACTCGGAAGCCTCCTATTTTTCCATCGACTGATTTCACATCAGAGCGATATGAGGCGCCAAAAAGAACCCGATCCAATTTTTGTATCATCGACATGAACGAAAGATCAATTCCACGAGGCACTGGAACAAAAGAGTTACTACTAACAAAACATTCTTGACTATACTTTGTTTGAACCCGTATGTCTAGATTTTAACCGCTTAAATTTTGGACCACGCCCTTTTTCATTTTAGATCCAAAAAATAGTAATAGAGGCTGAGAAAATTACCTGTGCAAAGAGTATCTCCGGTTGATGTCCAGGCACTTGTGCTCGTCTCGTCATTCGACCTCGGACTAGCGTGACACTCGGCTGTATATCTTAAACTGTAGCTGCAGCCAGCAACCAATCCTCCAATTGTTGCAATATTACTGTTAGTTTGTATAGTCTGGTTAGTTTCCGGACAGTCTTCGCTGGCTATCTGGATGAAAATTGAGTCGAAGTTGACCCCGAAACCGGACAGGGTCAGTTCTTTTGAAGTCGCTTCCACGAGTTGAATACTATTTATCGGCACTTCGGGCTCTATTTTATAAGAAAAGCAGGTGATATTAACAAAGCTGGCATGCCTTGCCGGTCACAAACAAGCTCAAGCTGTTTTTACGATTGGCTGCCACTTCTTGCTGATATTTTTGGGAACATTTTTGTTGAGGTTACTGATTGGAAAAAAAACACATATGTGAGTTCATTTTATAAGTTCGTTCGGAAAGGAGACAAAGTGAAAACTGTCAATAATTCTCTTTTTACAATGAAATAATTCCAAAAAAACATGGCGGAGGCCATGATTTCAAGGCTACAATTAGATAATTGAGTCTTACCCGTGCAAACATTCTCGATATGTTCAACACTATTTGAGCTCAGGTAAGATCCGTCTGGCAATTGACACTGTGCAGACAAGAAGATCCTGTATTCACATCCCTTTTCATGATCATCCAGGGTTAGTGAAGCACTTGTGTCCAGAGTCTTGTCTCCTCCAGAACACTTGGTTGGGGAGGCTGTTATGTTGTACTCAGAGTTGCTTGAATTGCGCCAATCGAAGTTACTCGCCGGATCTTCATAAAAATTATTTCATTAATAATGCACACGGATAAAACTCTTCAGCAGTTACCCGGAAAAAAAGACATAGGTGCTCATCAAAAAAGTTTATATGCTGATCATTTGAATTTTCTGCAGACGAAAAATCTTGTTAAACAATGATGATGTCTTATTCATGATGTCTGATAAACAATGTTGTCAACGTCGTTTTTCGAAGCTTAAATAATCGAGTATTGAAAAGAAAGAGTGCCCGCATCCAAGTTTAGGCGTAAATAATCGATTATAACGGATTATTATGATGATTTTTTGACAATTATAATCGATTATAATTACCAAAATTAGGTCCTTAAGGGATTTATAATTGATTATAATCGTGATATTTTCCAAGAGACTATAATCTCTTATAATCGATTATAATTGATTATAGTTCTTACTAAAAACCCTTAAAATCAATTATAATCGATTATAATCGATTATAATCTCTTATTTTGCCGGAATTTTTCTATTTTCGAATTGTATCTTATGGGTTATTATTTTTGTGTCAATAAGAAAATCTCTAAAAGAGAGATCTCTTGAACACTTTGGTTCATCTGAACACAAAGTTTTACCACGAAACAAAAGTTTCACAGAGATCCTCTCATATGACTGGAAAGTTTCTCGCGGTAGATGAAAGATAATTTTTCCGTATCAATCATGAAACTAAATCAATTTGCTGATGTTTTGGTGTTTTTAAAAGCTTAAAATATGCATCGCAAAACAACTCTAATGGGGAAGAAATGGAAAAAAAACTTATAAATATGAATTAAATGGAAAATTTTGAAAAATTTTCTCTCATTTTTCATAGGAACCAACGTCCACAAAAAGCATAAAATATAAGCAATTTAGATGCAACTTCGAAGACAAAAATGGACAAACAAAAGGGATTATAATCAATTATAATCGATTATAATGGATTTTTGTGCAAAACTAACGAAATAGAATTTTGAATAAAAATAATGGATTATAATCAATTATAATCGATTATAATTGTATGGAAAAATAGACGAATAAATAATCGATTATAATTAATTATAATTAATTATAATTTGATTTGAAAAAAAGAGATTATAATCAATTATTAATTGATTAAAATCGATTGTTTCTCAATTTTAGTGAGACTGGTACTAAAATCGTAATATAATCGATTATTAACGCTTGAAACTGGATGCGGGTGGCTGCTGATATCAGTTACGCCCTATGTGCTTTTACATAACAGGTTCAAAAATTTGAAAAGGTGAAACAGACTCTAAATATATATCAAAAATTTTTGGCAAGACCAATGTGACCAAGTAAATAGTACTCTTGTCAGGGGCGGATCTAAGATTTTCTCGAGGGGGCGAATTTTCAAAAAAATTTCGAAATTTTGTCGACTTTTTTTTAAGTCGAGCAAATTAATTTTCTGAGCTCTCACCAAGCAATAAAACGTGCGGCAGGCAAAACTTTGAAAAAACAGCCCAAAAAAGCGTTTTTAGGCACTTTTTGGGAATTTTTTACCAAAAAATTGCGTTTTTTCGGCGAGCTCCCCCCTTAAATTTTTTCTGCGCGCGCTCCCCCGCCTTTAGAAAACATTTAGGGTCCGTCAGCCAAAACTGGATATCTCAAAATAGTTCAAAGGGGGTTCCTTTGGGTCGGCAGGGGGTAGAATTGCTACAGAAATCGCGCGCGCTCCCCCGCCTTTAGAAAATATTTAGGGTCCGTCAGCCAAAACTGGATATCTCAAAATGGTTCAAAGGGGGTCCCTTTGGGTCGGCAGGGGGTCGAATTGCTACAGAAATATACAATCGGATAATCCTGTACCATTTAATTACATCGATGAACAAACTCAACTTACCCATGCAAACGTGCACTTTTCTGACAAAACTGTTTCCGACATCATTTTCCAGATTCAGTGTGAGTGTGTGAAGTTCGGCTGGGTTCAAGCCATGCAGAACAATTGAGATTTCCATCACTGCCCTCAATTCACTCTGCATGTAATTGCTACTGCAATTCAGTCCACCAGAAGAGGAGCATTCGACACTTTTGAGAGTGATGCTTTCATTTGCAGTGACTATGAGCTCAACTGATGTAGAATTCTTCCACACTTCTTGCACTCTGAGATTTGCCGAAATTTCTACATTCAGTCAAAATTAATAGCTACAGACTATATATTCGATCTGATTCTTTTTCTCTTTGTGTATATTGTATTTAATCAACGCCCAATTCAGATTTCACTTAAAACATAGCGAAAAGAACAGACAGAGTGGAAAAGAGTCATGAACACAAAACGGAAAAAAAAGATCTAACTAATTTTTGAAAAAACTTCGAATTTCAAACTTCGAAGAAAACAAGTAAATGGCCGTAAGGCTCTTGGAATTTCAATAACAATTTAAGATTGGCTTTTTTGATACAACTAAGCCAATTTGAGAAAACTGGATCAATAAGTAAATTTTTCAATCCTCAGGGAAATCTGCTAAATAAAATCCATTTTCGAAGCTAAAAGTTTATCTCGTTTTTCGTGAGCTTTACACTTATAATGTTGGATTGTGGAGTTTGCCTTCCTTTTAAAGAAAGAAATGAAATGACTTGAAAAAAATCAAAAGTCAATGAACAAACCTTAAGACTTTTTCCTAAAAAAAGCCACTAAGACTATATAAGAGTATTTACTACGTTCATGACTCTTAAGAAAATGAGTAATGCTTCGGAAAAATTGGTATCTAAATTGTTGACTTTTTTGTGTAAATCTGTCGATTTGTCATTTCCCAGTTTTCTAAGTTTTTTTTTAAATGAATTCCCTACTCTCGAAAAACTTATATTCCTCACTGACCAATGATTTGGCTTTTCTTCAGTCACGGGACATTGAAGTTGTTTGCGAAGCAGTTACGAAATTTGAACTGAAAATAGTCGTTCAAAAACGAAGGATCGAAGCTAGGCTCTCAATTAGCTTTCCCCTTACCAATTAATAAGTACAAAAAACTAACCTGCTACGAAATTAACAAACACAACCAGCAGAATGTTGGAAAAAGTAAAAGAACATTTTTCTACTCTCAAACTTTGAAGAAAAAATAATTCGTTTGAAGCTCTTCGAATTTAGAGAACAACTTATGATTAATAATTTTCTAATAAGGCTAACCTAATTCAAGAAAACAGAGTCACAGAGTCGTGGGGATCTGCTGAGAAATCTAAAAATTACACAGAAGCGAAGCTGCGCTTCGCAAACACTAGCGATAAAACGACAAAAAAGAAACAGCCCTGAAAAGTGAAACAAGAAAGAGTCTAAACAAGCCTCGAACTAGTAAAAACTCGGCTTCGTGTCGTATTTGATCCTGCGACCTAGAGATGATGACACTCATCCAAGGACACTGAACACTTCCTAAACACTAAGTAAAGCAGAGAACAGATACTATGAAATTTTCAATGCTACAGATCGTGGTTATAGCAAAAGTGCCACCAAATAGGTATTTGTTTTGGGAGTTAGGTTAGAATAAAATAATGTTCGTACTAATACTGCCCACAAGCTCCCAAGTGTAAAACTAGACGTTTTTCGCACCGTTTTTTTGCACCATTTCCGCTTTCGTCTTAAAAAGCGCAATTTAACTAAAATTTTACAGATAAATTTAAATTAAACTCAATAAATGCATATATCAATTATTGCATTCATAAACATAATTAAATCTATGCGCGCATTTCTGTAGTTATCAGAGCATGTTAAAAAAATCATCAAAAACTATATACGTAAGAACCATTTAGTTTTTTTTTACTCCTAAATAAATCAGATTTTAGCGTTTAAAACATAGCCAACATACAGTTGGGAAAAATCAATGAACGCAAAAAAAACAGAAAAAATACCGATTTGTTCTTGTACCCTTGCAATAAGCAAGGGTATTGCAATTGGGTACTAGACTTTTTTCCCGTCAATAACTTTAGCCTCAGGATCTTCACTTCTAAAGGATCTCTCCTCTTTTGACATGCTCAATTTCTTGAACGTTCAAAAAAAAGTAGTAACTAAGTAGTTACTTATGTAGTAATTAGTTTCAGGCTAAAGTTATCGTTTCAAAAAATTTAAACCTCAATGTTCGTGGTTTTCGTCTTAGTTTCTGTCGAATCATTTTTCGTTTTTTTTTAAAAACGACATTTTTGTTAGCTGGTAGAATTGCTATTGGTTTACTTTTTAGAGCATGGGTTTTGTTCCAATTTAAACAGGTTTTACTATAACTGAAACTTGACAAATTTGTAAATTTATCATGTCTGATTTTGAGTTTTTTAAACATTCAAACAGTTTCAGCTTATGTTGTATCGACTAAGTCACTTATTTGGCGTATTTTCCAAGGCATAATGCATCTGTTTGAAGTTATGTTTTTCTGTTATGATGTTTTTCTGTCGTAAAAACTTTTAAATTTTATGAAAATTTTTAATAAAACAGTTTTGTTTTCGGCTTAACAGGTTTCGACCCAAAATTTTTTGTCTTTGACAATTTTGTAATGTTGCAGTGCAATGTGTGTTTTGCATCGCAAATTTTGCGAATCTCTACTTCACCTCTATGTGAAAAATTTCATCTTTCGAAATTCAGAGTACCAAATAATTGACCGTAGAGTCCTTTGAATTTCAAGAACACTATATGATTGACACTTTTTTTGCTAGAATTGAAAATATATATAAAAAAAATGGATAGATAGCTAATTTGTTTATTTCGCTGGAATATCTGAAAACTAAAATCCACATTCGAAACTAGAAATTGATCACCTTTTTTGTGATCTTTACACTTTCGCTATTCGGTAGAGAAATTAGTTTTTTTTTAACGAAAGAATTGAAAAAAACTTCAAGACTTTTCTTGAAAAAAAAAACGAAAAAAAAAAATCATCGCGACCTTTATAAGAGTCTGAACTATGTTCATAGACTCTTAACCAGAGTAACAAGAGAAGCTTGACTTGGAACGAGGTACTTTTTCTCAACTTGGAACAAGAAATTTTGTTCCTGATCATTTTTTAAGATCTTTCTTGAAAAAAAAATCATCGCGACCTGTATAAGAATCTGAAATTTTAGCTTAGATTTACTAGTCACTCGGCTACGTGTCGAATTCGCTCCTGCGACCTAGAGACTACAAATTTCATGAACTATACAGTCAACCACGGATGCTGAACACTTCCCAAACACTAAGTACAGCAGAGAACGGATGCTATGAAGTTTCCAATGCTACATATCGTGATTATAGCAAAAAAGCCACTAATTGAGCCTATTTTTGCATATATTTTTCAAAGTCTTTTATAGGTCGCGATGATTTTTTTCATTTTCTAGGAATCGTTCATGGACTAAGTTGCCGACATTTTAGTCAACTTCTTTCTAGGAGCTCTTAAAATTTTTAACTTTTTTATGTGAATAGAAACTTATATGAGGACCTAGCTTAGCTCCTTAGTTTTCCAATGAATACTTTCAAGTCCAATGTTTCAAAAATTCTCTACTGTTTACAGGGAGTTTTTGAAACAAAGAGCACCTCTCTGGCACCCGCCAACTAAATGGCCAAACGACGCCATGAAAACAACATTTTAAGCTTTTTTCAATCAAAATTCATTCGTGAATCTCTATTATGTGTTGAGAAGGAGAGAAAAACGCAAAAAATTTGCTCATTTAATTGAAACTTCATTTAAGGTTTGTTTCGATTCAAATAAGGTAAAATTTATCTCAAAATTAATTTTAGGTATGCTTAAGGTAAATTTAAAGTTATACTTTTTTACCTTAGTTCAGTTACCTGAGCATTTTTATGTGCGCCTAAAAACTATAAGTTGAAATTTATATGTCTTGTGGCTGTACAACCTAATTTTACAACGTTCCAAAATGAGAACAATTTTTGCCCATGGAATCAGGATGCAGGGGATCATAGAAAGATGCCGATGTTTTTTCTTTACCCGGAACAATTATGGTGAAGTTTGTCGCAGGCCCCCTCTCACTTCCACATTGGGCAGATATGGACAGTTGGTAAGTACAACCTGTTTTCACGTTCTCAATGTCATGTCTCACAGTAAGGTCGGTGAAGTTTCCCTCCCTCTCACTGCACAGAGTCTCAGAACTAGTTAGAGAATAGTACATAGAGGAGAAGGATCCGTTCAGGACACCACTGATTCCAGAAAAGAATACGGCTCCAGAATCGAAACCGAACTGAATTACCGAACTGTTGATGTAATCTGGAACTGAAACAAATACCAATTATAGCAAAAACTTACATGTGTAGAACGCTTATTTTATAACTTCACCACCGCCAGCAAAAGTTTTTGACAGGTAGTTTTAAGAACTGTTCGAGATGCTTATGGAAATGCCAAAGTTTCTCAATTTAAGGCAAGAATGTTGTATTATATTAAGCATAAAAAGTCACCATAAAAATTTTGTGCGAGATTTGGGGTTTGTTCCAACACTTCGGCATTTGTCATCAAATTTGGTCAAATTTAAGTCTTTAATCCAATTTTGCAAAAAAACTAAAACGCGTATAGGGAACAGACTGGGGATAATTCTTCGGTGACTCGAAGATTGTTAAAATGAAAACATTTCAAAAAGTAACATTAAGATTTTATAGAGACTTCATCGAAAGGTCTCGAAATCATTTTAAAAAATTCATTCGAAAAACTACAACAAAACAATAATCAGAGCAATAAACTTTCTATAAAACTGAATAGTGTTTTTTTTCAAATTGATTCAACGTACTTGTGCAAACTGAAGTCGTGTAATTGAACAGCTGCACTCCGCCGGTACAAAACTGACTCAGCCGAGTGAAGTGTAGATAGTACTCAGTTCCTGGATAGAGGCCATCAATTTCAATGGGCAAATAATGGTAGTAATACAGCGGTTCGTTCATTATTGGACTGGTAAGCGATGAACTAGAAGAGACGATTATGAAATTGCCGTAGGAGTGGTGAAGCCAGCTGATGTAGTTCAATGATATCGTCCAAGAGCTTTTAGCCTCGATTTGATGTGATACATTGCGTTGGCCTAGAAAGAATTCAAACCACAAAATTAATTTGCCTCGGACATTTCTGAGGACTCTATCAGTTTTAATGTAAATGTACTGTGAAATTCAGTGTGGTGACTAGAAAAAAAAATACCATGACATGACTGTGCAAAAAGAACCAAGAATAAAATTTAAACTACCTCATTGATATATAAACCATCAAAAGCAGTTCTTTCAAATCATTGATACTAATTTACGCTTTATTAAAATGTTCGTCGTAGCCATCAAGATCAACTTCGAAGAAAGAGCGGAATGTTTCTTCGCGGGCTGATTGTTTTTATTCAGTCAAATTTTATATACTATCTGAAAGATATAGTTTCTGGAGCTCAAATTCAAAAAGATATTTCACCTGTGATTATTTGGTGGTATATACACCAGCCGAAGAGTATAAACCAGCTACCATATAAACCAGCCGACAATACGTAATCGTTATATAATAGTTATGTTACAAATATACAACAGTTACGAAAGTTATGTAAATTTGATTCATATGACGTAACTTTTCTGTTGGTTTATACTGCGGCTGATTTACTTAAGCTTGATAGTTTTTCGTAAAGATGGCAGGTTGAAAATTGCTAATTTGGGGTAATTGGATATGCTGCGTTCTTATAACACGCGTAAGCGTCGGATTAATGTGTTCCAAAGTAATTATTTAAGGCTTGATACATCCCTTTCTAGTTCAGATTAGCGTGTGGGGGATAACTTGATAACTTGAAGAAAAAAGTTTAAAAAACTTTCGATTTTTTTCAAATAATCGTCAACTTTTCAACCAAATTTTTTTAATGGATCATACAATTGTCTAAAAACATTCAGGGCGTCGCCCTGATATACGGAATGGCGACATTTCGTCGCAAGCAATATTTCGTCGCAAGCGACAATTCGTAGCATTTGTAAAAAAACGACTATCATTACGAGGCCAAACTGTAAACTGTAAAGGCGCAAAATTTTGTGCCTGTATGTTCCTGGATTCTAGAGACATGTCCCTAAACATGTTAAACTTTGTCGGAATAATCAAAGAAAATGAAAAAACAAAAGGAGCGTTTTGAGCGTCTTTGTTGCGGAATCCGCTTACAACTCACAAAATGCACAGTTTGACCTCGTAATGATTCGCAGCACGCGACGACTCGTAGCTAGCAGCAAATTGTTTCGCTAAAAACATTGATCAGATCAAAAGAAAAGAGATGAAATTAAAAAACTGAAGAACAAAGAAACTAAAAACCAAAATTGAACGAGAGGCCCTCAAGTTGTTTGAGAATTGTTTTGTTGCTTTAAAGTTTAAGGAGTTCAACTAATCTGCTTGGGCTTTTTTCGTATTTTTTCACCTTGGCGGTATTTTCTCCGGTAGTCACTCTCACCAATTTGTTCTCCGGCAGACTTTGTTTCTTTTTTCAGGAATTGATTAAAATTTTGAATGGCACGGTGACCGCACGCCATCCCCATCTGGAAGGCCCCATGCCATCGCTCGACCCAATTGTTGATTTTTTGTCTTCCACTTTGGGCATTTTTGAACTTATTCCAGAGTGAGATAGGGAAAAAAGTGAATATTTATTTCACCATTTTGACCCAATTTTGATGGCTACGTTGTTGAATTGAGGGAACTATATTGAAAACTACCCTAGAGATATGATGAGGACGCAGAGGCGAAGCTGAGCTTCGCACCACTTGCGTTACCACTAAATCTATCAAAATGAATGAAGATAGCGGTGAAAAAAATGCCCAGACAACAGAACGAAAAATTAGTATCGGAACAAAAGTCACCAAGCGGTGAAAAAGTGAAAAATGTCTGAGCGAAAACTTTTCATGCCAAAAAAATTCTTGAAAAATTCAAAAATTAGAAAAAAAAAATAAGCGCTTGACTTCAAAACCCACACACCTCCACAAGAAAATTTTTTTCACTCAAAAAAAAATTCTTTCACACTACCGGTCATGAAAACTAAAATTGTTTTTTTTTTGTTCTAAAAATTATCATTATCAGGAAATTTAACCTCTAATGAATAACTATTCGATCATATACTGATTTTATCCTTATTATTAACTCTTTGTCGTGCAAGATATCGAATAACATACTTACTACACAGAGGCGAAGCTGCGTTTCACAAACACTAGCGATAAAACGACAAAATAGAAACAGCCCTAAAAAGTGAAACAAGAAAGAGTCTAAGCAAGCCTCGAACTAGTAAAAACTCGGCTTCGTGTCGTATTTGATCCTGCGACCTAGAGATTATGACACTCATCCACGGACACTGAACACTTCCCAAACACTAAGTAAAGCAGAGAACAGATACTATGAAATTTTCAGTGCTACAGATCGTGATTATAGCAAAAGTGCCACCAAATAGGTATTTTTATTTGGGAGCTAGGTTAGAATAAAACAATGTTCGTACTAATACTGCTCACAAGCTCCCAAGTGTAAAACTAGACGTTTTTCGCACCGCTTTTTTTGCACCATTTCCGCTTTCGTCTTAAAAAGCGCAATTTAACTAAAATTTTACAGATAAATTTAAATTAAACTCAATAAATGCATATATCAATTATTGCATTCATAAACATAATTAAATCTATGCGCGCATTTCTGTAGTTATCAGAGCATGTTAAAAAAATCATCAAAAACTATATACGTAAGAACCATTTAGTTTTTTGTACTCCTAAATAAATCAGATTTTAGCGTTTAAAATATAGCCAACATACAGTTGGGAAAATCAATGAACGCAAAAAAAAACAGAAAAAAAACCGATTTGTTTTTGTACCCTTCCGATAAGCAAGGGTATTACAATTGGGTACTAGACTTTTTTCCCGTCAATAACTTTAGCCTCAGGATCTTCACTTCTAAAGGATCTCTCATCTTTTGACATGCTCAATTTCTTGAACATTCAAACAAAAGTAGTAACTAAGTAGTTACTTATGTAGTAATTAGTTTCAGGCTAAAATTATCGTTTCAAAAAATTCAAACTGCAATTTTTTTCGGGTTTGTGGTTTTCGTCTTAGATTCTGTCGAATCATTTTTCGTTTTTTTTTTTTAAAAAACGACATTTTTGTTAACTGGTAGAATTGCTATTGGTTTACTTTTTAGAGCATGGGTTTTGTTCCAAATTAAACAGGTTTTACTATAAGTGAAACTTGACAAATTTGTAAATTTATCATGTCTGATTTTGAGTTTTTTAAACATTCAAACAGTTTCAGCTTATGTTGTATCGACTAAGTCACTTATTTGGCGTATTTTCCAAGGCATAATGCATCTGTTTGAAGTTATGTTTTTCTGTTATGATGTTTTTCTGTCGTAAAAACTTTTAAATTTTATGAAAATTTTTAATAAATCAGTTTTGTTTTCGGCTTAACAGGTTTCGACCCAAACCTTTTTTTTCTTTGAAAATTTTGTAATTTTGCAGTGCAATGGGTGTTTTGCATCGCAAATTCTGCAAATCTCTACTTCAGCTCTATGTGAAAAATTTCATTTTTTGAAATCCAGAGTACCAAATAAATGACCTTAGACTTCTTTGAATTTCAAGAACACTATATGATTGACACTTTTTTTGCTAGAATTAAAAATATATATAAAAAAAATGGATAAATAGCTAGTTTGTTTATTTCGCTGGAATATCTGAAAACTAAAATCACCATTCGAAACTAGAAATTGATCACTTTTTTGTGATCTTTACACTTTCGCTATTCGGTAGAGAAATTAGTTTTTTTTTAACGAAAGAATTGAAAAAAACTTCAAGACTTTTCTTGAAAAAAAAAGAAAAAAAAATGTCGCGACCTATGTAAGATTCTGAACTACGTTCATAGACTCTTAACCAGAGTAAAAAGAGAAACTTGACTTGGAACGAGGTACTTGTTCTCAACTTGGAACAAGAAATTTTGTTCCTGATCATTTTTTAAGATCTTTCTTGAAAAAAAAACCATCGCGATCTGTATAAGAATCTGAAATTTTAGCTTAGAATTACTAGTCACTCGGCTACGTGTCGAATTCGCTCCTGCGACCTAGAGACTACAAATTTCATGAACTATACAGTCAACCACGGATGCTGAACACTTCCCAAACACTAAGTATAGCAGATAACGGATGCTATGAAGTTTCCAATGCTACATATCGTGATTATAGCAAAAAAGCCACTAATTGAGCCTTTTTTTTGCATATATTTTTCAAAGTCTTATATGAGTCGCGATGATTTTTCTCATTTTCTAGGAAACGTTCATGGACTAATTTGCCGACATTTTAGTCAACTTCTTTCTAGGAGCTCTTAAATTTTTTAACTTTTTTATGTGAATAGAAACTTATATGAGGACCTAGCTTAGCTCCTTAGTTTTCCAATGAATACTTTCATGTCCATTGTTTCAAAAATTCTCTACTGTTTACAGGGAGTTTTTGAAACTAAGAGCACCTCTCTGACACCCGCCAACTAAATGGCCAAACGACGCCATGAAAACAACATTTTAATGTTTTTTCAATCAAATTTCATTCCTGAATCTCTATTAGTTTATGACAAAACAGAGAAAAACGCGAAAAACTTGCTCATTCAAGTTGAAACTTCATTTAAGGTTTGGTTCGACTCAAATAAGGTAAAAACCATCTCAAAGTTGTTTTTTAGGTAAGCTTAAGGTAAATTTAAATTTAAAACTTAAGGTTTAAAACTTAAACTTAAACTTTTTAGCTTAAAGTTTTTAAAAGTTAACTTTAAATTTACCTTAAGCTTACCTAAAAAACAAATTTGAGATAATTTTTACCTGATTTTTACTTTTTTTTACCTTAGTTCAGCTACCTGAACATTTTTATGTGCGCTTAAAAACTAAAAGTTTAAATTTATGTCTTGTGGCTGCACAACTTAATTTTACAGCCACAAAATGAAGCTGCACAAGTTGATCAGGATCCAAAATGAGAACAATTTTTGCACATGGAATCAGGATGCAGAGGATGATAGAAAATTGCCGATGTTTTTTCTTTACCCGGAACAATTATGGTGAAGTTTGTCGCAGGCCCCCTCTCACTTCCACATTGGGCAGATATGGACAGTTGGTATGTACAACCTGTTGCCACGTTCTCAATGTTATGTATCACAGTAAGATCGGTGAACTTTCCCTCCCTCTCACTGCACAGAGTCTCAGAACTAGTTAGAGAATAGTACATAGAGGAGAAGGATCCGTTCAGGACACCACTGATTCCAGAAAAGAATACGGCTCCAGAATCGAAACCAGTTTGAACTGAAGAACTGTTGATGTAATCTGGAACTGAAACAAATACCAATCATAGCAAAAGTTTACATGCGTAGAACGCTTATTTTATAACTCACCACCGCGAGCAGAAATTTCTGGCTGGTAGTTTTAAGAGCTGTACGAGATGCTTATGGAAATGCCAAAGTTTCCCAATTTAAGAAAAGAATGATGTATTTTATTAAGCATAAAAAGTCACCATAATAATTTTGTGCGAGATTTGGAGTTTGTAACAACACTTCGGCATTTGCCATCAAATTTGGTGAAAACCGATTCAATTAAAGTCTTTAATCCAATTTTGCAAAAAAAAACTAAAACACGTATAGAGAACAGACTGGGGATAATTCTTCGGTGACTCGAGGAATGCCAAAATGAAAACATTTCAAAAGGTAACATTAAGATTTTATAGAGGTTCATCGAAAGGTCTCGAAATCATTTTAAAAAATTCATTCGAAAAACTACAAGAGAACAATAATCAGCAATAAACTTTCTTTCAAGCTGAGTAGTGTTTTTTTTCAAATTGATGCAACGTACTTGTGCAAGCTGAAGTCGTGTAATTGAACAGCTGCACTCCGCCGGTACAAAACTGACTCAGCCGAGTGAAGTGTAGATAGTACTCAGTTCCTGGATAGAGGCCATCAATTTCAATGGGCAAATAATTGTACTTATACAGCGGTTCGTTCATTATTGGACTGGTAAGCGATGAACTAGAAGAGACGATTATGAAATTGCCGTAGGAGTGGTGAAGCCAGCTGATGTAGTTCAATGATATCGTCCAAGAGCTTTTAGCCTCGATTTGATGTGATACATTGCGTTGGCCTAGAAAGAATTCAAACCACAAAATTAATTTGCCTCGGACATTTCTGAGGACTCTATCAGTTTTAATGTAAATGTACTGTGAAATTCAGTGTGGTGACTAGAAAAAAAAATACCATGACATGACTGTGCAAAAAGAACCAAGAATAAAATTTAAACTACCTCATTGATATATAAACCATCAAAAGCAGTTCTTTCAAATCATTGATACTAATTTACGCTTTATTAAAATGTTCGTCGTAGCCATCAAGATCAACTTCGAAGAAAGAGCGGAATGTTTCTTCGCGGGCTGATTGTTTTTATTCAGTCAAATTTTATATACTATCTGAAAGATATAGTTTCTGGAGCTCAAATTCAAAAAGATATTTCACCTGTGATTATTTGGTGGTATATACACCAGCCGAAGAGTATAAACCAGCTACCATATAAACCAGCCGACAATACGTAATCGTTATATAATAGTTATGTTACAAATATACAACAGTTACGAAAGTTATGTAAATTTGATTCATATGACGTAACTTTTCTGTTGGTTTATACTGCGGCTGATTTACTTAAGCTTGATAGTTTTTCGTAAAGATGGCAGGTTGAAAATTGCTAATTTGGGGTAATTGGATATGCTGCGTTCTTATAACACGCGTAAGCGTCGGATTAATGTGTTCCAAAGTAATTATTTAAGGCTTGATACATCCTTTTCTAGTTCAGATTAGCGTGTGGGGGATAACTTGAAGAAAAAAGTTTAAAAAACTTTCGATTTTTTTCAAATAATCGTCAACTTTTCAACCAAATTTTTTTAATGGATCATACAATTGTCTAAAAACATTCAGGGCGTCGCCCTGATATACGGAATGGCGACAATTCGTCGCAAGCAATATTTCGTCGCAAGCGACAATTCGTAGCATTTGTAAAAAAAACGACTATCATTACGAGGCCAAACTGTAAACTGTAAAGGCGCAAAATTTTGTGCCTGTATGTTCCTGGATTCTAGAGACATGTCCCTAAACATGTTAAACTTTGTCGGAACAATCAAAGAAAATGAAAAAACAAAAGGAGCGTTTTGAGCGTCTTTGTTGCGGAATCCGCTTACAACTCACAAAATGCACAGTTTGACCTCGTAATGATTCGCAGCACGCGACGACTCGTAGCAAGCAACAAATTTTTTCGGTAAAAACATTGATCAGATCAAAAGAAAAGAGATGAAAGTAAAAAACTGAAGAACAAAGAAACTAAAAACTAAAATTGAACGAGAGGCCCTCAAGTTGTTTGAGAAATGTTTTGTTGCTTTAAAGTTTAAGGAGTTCAACTAATCTGCTTGGGCTTTTTTCGTATTTTTTCACCTTGGCGGTATTTTCTCCGGTAGTCACTCTCACCAATTTGTTCTCCGGCAGACTTTGTTTCTTTTTTCAGGAATTGATTAAAATTTTGAATGGCACGGTGACCGCACGCCATCCCCATCTGGAAGGCCCCATGCCATCGCTCGACCCAATTGTTGATTTTTTGTCTTCCACTTTGGGCATTTTTGAACTTATTCCAGAGTGAGATAGGGAAAAAAAGTAATATTTATTTCACCATTTTGACCCAATTTTGATGGCTACGTTGTTGAATTGAGGGAACTATATTGAAAACTACCCTAGAGATATGATGAGGACGCAGAGGCGAAGCTGAGCTTCGCACCACTTGCGTTACCACTAAATCTATCAAAATGAAAGAAGATAGCGGTGAAAAAAAAATGCCCAGACAACAGAACGAAAAATTAGTATCGGAACAAAAGTTACCAAGCGGTGAAAAAGTCAAAAATGTCTGAGCGAAAAGTTTTCATGCCAAAAAAATTCTTGAAAAATTCAAAAATTAGAAAAAAAAATAAGCGCTTGACTTCAAAACCCACACACCTCCACAAGAAAATTTTTTTCACTCAAAAAAAAAAATTCTTTCACACTACCGGTCATGAAAACTAAAATTGTTTTTTTTGTTCTAAAAATTATCATTATCAGGAAATTTAACCTCTAATGAATATCTATTCGATCATATACTGATATTATCCTTTCGATCAGCAAGATATTGAAATCGGATACTTCAATTTTTACCGTAGGCAATTTTTTGCACAGGGACCCATCTCCTATACTCATTCGTCTAATGCGCGTCTCTGTTGTAACAGACATGTTTTGAGCTTATTGTTAGCATTTTAAATATCTGTCTTTTTAAAACTTGACTTTCATATTAATAAAAAATTTTACGGATTTTGAATTTCCTTTAATCTCTCTCTTTTTTCGGAATTTGAAATTTCATTTAACTTCTATCTCCTTTTGTGTTTTTTGGCTTAAAATATTTGAATTACTTTGAATCAGTTCAGCAGAATCTTTTTGCGTCATTTGATGAGCGAAAAAATTTTCGTGAACGTGTGTGTGTGTTCTAAAGTGAAGGACTTAATTTTTTTTAAAGTTTTTCAAAAATGGAAAAAGTGGAAATCACAGATGACAAGTGTTTACGCAAACGTAAAATGGAATGCACTGCCCAAAAAGAAAAGAAACTGAAAATATATTTTTTTCTTGGATTCAAAAGTTTATCTTGAAAACGACAGTTTGCTCAAAGAGCTTGTCTTTAATGTGGAAACTATGTAAAGGAGTAAATCAAGTATTTGAACTCTAAAGTTTGTAGCGTTTGTAAAGTTGTATCTAAAAACAATCAACAGACGGAGCAGACGAACAAAAATTTGTCAGCAGTGGTGATCAGCTCTCCAAAAACTGACCAAAAAAGTCTTGAGTGGACATGGCTGATTATGACCAAAACGTTTGCTGTAATTTTCTTATCGTACCTAAAATTGTGGGTATTTAAATGACAACGATTATATGCATAAGAAATTCGTTTTGTTCAGTGAAGAGAAGAGACGTTTCAAACGGTCCAAAATTCATTTAATGTTGGTAACGAACCTTTTTTCATGAATTGAGCCCCAAGATAATCTATATCCCAAAAAAAAACTGGGGTACTCTGCTGAAAGTTTTGAGACCAAATTCTGGAAATAGCCAAAAGTTTTCTTTTTTTACTGATATGACTGAAACAAAGCAGATGTTTGCCCCAAGTTGATCCTCATGGATTCAACGCATCTTTTTATGGCCAAAAACGTGGCAAACTTTTGGCAAATAATGTGAGCCAACTCATAAAATTCGCAGAGAATTTTTTATTGGGACATTCGCATCTTTTGACGGGCAAAAACGTTGCGCGTTAAGACTTTTGCTGAAAAAAAAACTTAAAAAAAGTCCCTTTAACCGAAAAAAGTTCCTCATGATCTTCAAAAGAGTATGAACATAATAGCAATCAATCAAAGCAAATAAATAATAAGCCATTTACCATCAAAAATGTTATGCATATGCTTGTTTTTAGGATCAAAAATCAGATTCAGCTATTTGAACGAAGCATTTTCTAATTTTGATTGCTACACAGTACCTTGTTACAACTTAGATGATCTGGATGAAGCGTTGAGAGAAATCCTTAAGGAAATTAACATGCTTCAGAATTAAGGTACCAGTGGATTTCGTAAAATTTGTCCCTATAATTTTTAAGGAAAAAACACATCAGACAACCGCTTTGTTTGAAACGCGGAATTACTCACCAATTACTTTATCCGAAATGCGGAAATGTATCTCAAATTTGGAAAATCAACAAAAAAATGTTGTTTTCTCAAACAAATTTTGTTTTTAAACAAAATCAAATTATGACGAAAGAGCCGATTGGTGAGAGTCCTCTAGGAACCATAGAATTACGATACTGATGCGGAAAGTGACGCGACTTTATGGGCAAATACTGGTTTTGCTGCTAGAAATTCTAAGTGTTTATTCTTTTGTCAGTCTTCTACACCCTGGTTCTGTGTCAACTCGCCGCTGTACTGCAGATTCTTCATGTTGGACACTACTGCTACCAAAATTGGCACACCATTGCGCAATTATCTACTGTGTTGGTACCAAGATGACTGCCACGTATTCTAACAGTTAAAAAACGTTCAATCAGATGATCTTAGTGTTGTTGTATGAGACGTATTTTGTTCGGTACACTGTCCTTTTTACCGTAACTACAATCAATCTGCTTTGTTGAGAAACGGAGGTGAATATTGAGAAGACTGTTAAAGTTTGCTTAATTTTCAAAATTCTGCAGCTATATTTTACATTATTTTGTGCAAATTTTTTTTGCAACCTTGTAATGGTTTATCGGAGAACCTCCGATTCACAGTTTTGTTTGTTAACAACACTTTCACGCTTTAAGCGAACCTGCATTCTGATTGTTAGTTTCTTTGTGTCTGCTGAAACACCACTCTGCCGAAAAACCGCCAATTTAAAAAACTAGTTAGAAAAAAGTATGGCCGCCAATTGTTCTGATTTCAAATAGAAACAGAAACATGAATTATTTTATTGCGTTCACAAAATGTGACGCCGCCGCCACCACCAAAAGAAATATGTTTTTATTCCCTTGCAAAAGGAAGGGAAATAATGCTATTGGAATAATTCGTATAACGTTTTAAGCATTGAGAATTGAAACGACTATTCTCATTCAAAGCGAATATTAACGATTCCTCTCGTAAAATACGAGCATACGAAACCTTCTTCTCGTAAAATACGAATGTACGAATAGAGAATACGAAGTTAAGAAGTAACTTCTCATTTGATACGAAAAGTGGCGTGATTTCCCCATCTGAGTATAAATAGAAGCTCAAAACTACGGGAATTCATTCCCAACAATATCTCTTCTAACACCACAACCTCCCTCTCTAATATCCCAACAATATCTCTTCTAACACCAACACCACTCTCTTCTACCACCCCAACCAATCTCTAAAATAATATCTACTCTCAGTAAAAATATCTCTAATCTCACCGTTAAAATAGATATTGAGTCAAAACGCAACTTGCTGTAAATTCATACTAACTTCTTTTTTAATAAAATATTTCTCAGCGAATTTTAGATTTACTTTCTAAGATAGAAAGTAGAAAGGACCCTTTATTCCTAGCAAGCGT